GAGGCCTCCGCCCTTGCTGGCGCACCCTGGCGGGAGCGCGGCCCCACGACAGCTCCGTCGACGTGTCGCCGATGCATCGGTGATGCGGCGCGAGCCTCCGGCCCCACCTGCTCGTACAGTCGACCCGCATAGTAAGGACGGGCAACCTTCCCAAGGGTACCCTTGCATCCTTGCTTCCTCGGTCCATCCTTGGCCACTTTCGTTGGCCGCGCCCCGTACGAGAAGCTTCGGAATGGGCGTCCCAGGCCCTTGCATCCTTACCCCACATCCTTATCATACGGGCCGACTGTATGTTACATAGAGAGAGAGTACTCGCGCGAGTCTTGCCCGGAGGCCTTGTGCGGGGGACCTTGTGTTAAGGCGGGCGTGTCCAGGGAGGAATACGCATCAAATGAAAAATTGTATGGGGATGATGTGTTCGACTATTTCTAGCTATGTTTGAACATGTTCTGCGTATGCTTCTATTTGCCTTCAAAAATCCCTTGCAGGAGGACATGCCCGACCTAAAAAGAGTACTCGCGGGAGTCTTGCGCGGAGGCCTTGTGCGGGCGTCCTTGTGCGCCCTGTGCGGGGCTCTCGTGCTTGCCCTTCGGCTCGGACTATTGCTTGCCAAGCGCTGCTCGGCGCAAGACCCCTCGTGCGCCGACACGTTTCGCTCCCGCACTCGTTCGATTAAGAAAAAGTATTTCTTGTTGTCGGTCTCTGTTGCCTGGTTCGTTCAATCTTCTACGCTGGCCTCGCCGAATTTGTTCGCGCTTTGCCTACGTCGGCTTCGCGCATGCTTTTGCTCACCCGTGGTACGCTCCAGCTCCGTGGTTCGAGCTCGTGCAGCGCAAGAGTAGAAAAGGAGGGCTGCTCTGCCAGCGGAAGGTCGGCCGTAAAGTGTCAACGTGTTTTAGCTTTAAGTCGGGCATGTCCCTCTACAGGAGGAACCTTCAAAAATAGTCACAAAGTGGTCGGGGGACGATCTCTCCACTATCTTTGACCAGTTCTGAATATGGTTTTGACAACTGTTCATTGTTCTCCGAAAATCCGCCTGTAGGAGGACATACCGACCTAATTTCAGATTCGGGAAGGCTGATCTTCAGATTGCCGCCAGTTCTCGAATTACCATACGAGCTTTCGTCACGAAAATGTCAGAGCTTCCGGGGTAGATTTCGGCACGTTTTCCAAACTGGCATCCTCGGGGCCACGGCTGGATCCTCCCCGAAATCCCGGTCCGAACCCACCACAGGAAAGGTCCGTGAGGCGATTTCTGACCCCCGCACCCAGACATGCAGAGGTCACAGAAAGTCATGGTTTTCCCTTTTTGTCCAGTATTGAAAGGCATATCGTGGACCACGGCGTCATCTAATAACGCTCATCGTCTGTAATATACACGACGTAATATATATATATATATATATACACACATATCAGCGCTTGTATTACCGAATCACCGTTGCTTCACTTATAATGTATGTTGCGTTCCAAGACGTGATATGGACATATATTGTAGCACATGCTCTCAAAGTTGCAAATGTCGTTCCAAGTCTGCATCGCATACGTCTACGAGCCCTTCTTCGTACATTGTTCACAGTTGTCATGGGCGGCAACATCCCATGTCAACCCGTGCAGCTGATCTTGTCCAGTATTGCTGTTGTTCTTGGAGGAGCCTCTGACCACTCGCCTCCCAAGATCGTGTAGGACCATTGCGATACCCTTGTTGGCGCCTGGGTCCAGCTAGCGTTGGGCGTGCGCCGGTTCGTTGGATCATGTCGTGGGTGTATTGGTTGGCCAGTGCTACGTCGATGCGGAAATCGTGGTCGTCGTTGCACTTGTTTTGTAAGTCTTCCCGAGTGTCACCAAGCATCAGTCTGCTCCTCTGGTCGTGTCGCAGTCTGGTGGTGGTAACTCGCGGTCTGCTCTCGTCGCCTGGTGGAGTATGAGTCACCAGCACCGCGCACACCAGACAACATGAGCAGCTCCTCTCTCTATCTCTCTCTTTTTTTCTCTCTCTCTCTCTCTCTATCTCCCCCTCTCTCAAGCGCAACTGACAGCAACGTGAGCCCACCGACACCAGTAGTCCAAGGACAATACCACACGGACAGACCAGCTCCACCAGCAGAAGAGACGTCGCACCACACGCCAGGAGAGCGCAACGCAAACCATTGAGAACTCCAGCACCACAGAACACCGTGCAGGCAAAATTCCACAGCAACCACTGCCATCAGCAAAGCTCAACATACCTGCCGTCTGCCTACGACACAGCGCACACGACAGACGCAAGCAACCATTACAGCATGCGTTCCAACAAAAGCCCCATCACCCATGGAACACGGCCAAACGGTATCGACTCCAAGACCTACAGACGACAGACGACCACGCACTACACAACGCCAACCAATACGACGAGCCAACTTGCATAACACTTCAAAAGAGCAAAAGAGCACGAGGACACCACCAGCAGCACACAGCACTTACTAAAAGTACAGAGGCACATTGAAGACGAACGCTTGGCACCACGCAAAGCACCACCAACCCACAAGCCAAAGTATCCACCCTTACCCTGCAGCACTGGCAACACATCCACGTGCAGCACAGAGCCTCACACCCTGCATGGGAACCCTGCGGAGCAGATCTAGGGGAGCCGCACTGCTAGTACTCCAGTGACCACAGGACGCATACTTACTGAGCCTGCTGTCATCTCCCTCACCCAGACCTGCATCTCACTTTGCCTGGGAGGGGTTGCTGGTGGGGAGGCTTAGTGGAGGGGAGAGGTGCGGCACTGCCTGCATCACAGCTTGCATTCTCCATTGCACGGGTCTCTGTGCACGAGCTCTCACCATGCTCTGGAGATCCCGTGCCCACAATCTGACATTGGACAGCAGATACTTGTCTACGCCTGCTTGCACCGTTGCGCGCCACCTACAGCCAGCTAGTTTTCCCTACTGGGAAGAAACAGCGGGGCGGGTGGCGGGACTCGCAATCGGCATGGCAGCACTCTCAGCGCGGCCACAGAGTGCAAGACAGGGCGCATCGCCCGTTGCACTCACACATGTAGGCCAGGGTGGATCACCTGTGACATGCTTTACGCAGTCTCCTCCCATACTCCTGCCTGGCTGCACCTTCCTCTTACTGCCGGCGCCACTTCTTTCAAACCAGGCCACGTTGGCCAAGAATACGCATGACTACTCGGGACGCGGAGTGTGAGAGGCGAGGCTTACAAGGAGGGGGAGTGAGGCACTCTCGGGTCTCATTTCCCTGCCCGTTTTGTCCTGCACATTCGACTTTCGCAGTCTGTCTCGACGCAGGCCAGCCACTAGTGTGGTAGCCGACAGTCCTCGCCACCTGCAACCACTTGCTGTGCCTAGCGTCTTCTCTTTAGCCCTACGCAAGGCTACCAGTGGTGCCTACCCTGGGGTCGAGCGTGCCAACTATCCAGATTCCTTCATCTACTGCTACTTGTTCAATTACCCAATGGGACGGATGGGGGACCATCCAGTGGCCAGCCAGTTTAAAACATTCCAGGCTAGCGCGTAAGTGCCAGCCTACGCTTTCCGACTTCATGTTCAAGCCTGCCATATTTTCAGGCCAATCGGCTAGCCTCGTT